CTGTCGGGGACTCAGAATTTTTCTTTGTCCCACGCTCGTGTCATGTTGATTAATTCACCTCCACATTTCACTACCAAGCTTAAAATTAACCATCCTTATTAACTTATCAAGGTCTTCTTTTGTGATTGACTCTTGGTTTAAAAGCCAGATTGCATTTACCAGAAGTAACTAGTGATTTACGTATTTTTCTGGCAGGATTCCTCTTAGACATGGAAGGCTATAGTGGAACAGCCAAGAATGGAATTCTGAAGCTGGCAAGACAAAATACAAGACAGATCAAAATTTATGTATATTGTGGTATTTCCATTCAAATACTACCTAAAATGATGAAAATAGTTATCATGGATAATAATAAAACTTTATGTAGCTAAATCCATAATTTAGGCAAACTCAACCACAAGAAAATAATGTTCAGCTGCTTTTCACAACACAATTGAGGTTCTCGCTAGTTTGCCAAACAATTGCTGGATAATCTGCCAGAGATTTCTTTGCCCTGTTTTGGATTCACCAACCTACAACAATAGGCATCTGACCCATAGCAATCTATTGCTGATGTATCAAAATAAGTATGATTATGTTGAAGAAGCACAATTATTAATTTAAATACCTTTCCAGTATTTTCTGTGATGTTCCAGGGATCTTGGAACTCTGGTAATGACATTTGGTGGCTTAATGCTCATTAACCTTTCATCAATTAAGGCAACAAGAGTTCCACAGTACCAGTCCTCACCACTGAATTGTGAGTCCAGCCATAGTTTAAGGAGCTGTTTGCTAACTCCAAGTAAAATCCCATGCATGTAATCTACTGCAACACCATCAACCACATCAGTGTTTAAGATTGGCAAATTGGCACACACCTCTTACTCCAAAAACCTATTAAAGAATACAAAATGCTACACTTCAGCACAACAACAGTGTGTTTAAAAGTTGTCCTCAGCATCTAGTGTGTCACATAACAAACACACCTGTTTCTCAGTGAAAACTGACCAAAGTAAACATGAAACAAAATACAGAAATTTGTCAGAAACACTCACTGGTTTTCCAAGAGGGTCCTCCAGGGACTTCATTCCATTGGCTATGGTTCCTTTGTGGGTACGTCGTTCTGCATGGCCTGTTTCTGACTCGTCATTAAATGGGTACACATGCACCTGACCTCGTCCACCATCTTTGGCTTTCACTGATTTTCCTGCTTCAACACAGTAGGAACATCCACAGAACCCATTGAACTGGATTTCTTCCAATACCAAGCTCTTAACTGGTAGGTCAAAGATACCACTGACTAGATAGACCTTTGAAATAATTGTTTCCTTGTTTGGAAGCTGAAAAGTTGTTCCTTTGTGAAAAAAAGAAAATGTATGAGTGTTAAGTGCTGTGTTGCAAAATCAAATAATAAAATAGCAATAAAGCAGCACTTGCCATTTTAGACAAGAACCAACTAAGGTACATATTGTACACGATTAAGTTAGGAAATAAGTACCTCTGACAGTGACAATATATATTAAACAGAATCTAATAACAATTAAATTTTTAAGCATAACTATAATGATGATGATGATGATGCCTTTTATTACTCCGTCTCGGAGCATAGGCCACAGATAAAGCGCCTCCA